ACCCTGTAAGGGCTTGGCCTTGGCTTATCCTTGGCTCATTCTAGGCTTATCCAGGATAAACCCCCACCCTTTTGATTCCTTACCATAGGTGTCGTGTCGGGTAGACCTCTTACACTTACAGTAAGGTCGCAATACCTTCTTGAGGGGTCCACCAGGCCGTACCAATCTGAACAGACTGTCACGCAATCAGTTCTACCGCAATCCACAGCCCAACTTCGCTATATTTACGGTGGAACTCCACAACATTGTGAGTAAAATAACCACACTGAACCACAAAACCATGGTGAATTGATCCAAACTGCAGGCTTTCCTTGTTCCAAACTTGAAGTAGGGCATCCGCCCACATGAGCTCGCAGATCGGGTTCGCTTTCGGGGCCAACAAATATCAGCCCCCAAGGTGGTCTCCCGGATGCGCCAAGGCACACGAGGTTTGATGAACTCCTTTGCCTTGCGTTCCGCTTCTGTATCTCTCCCACGACCTCCGCCCGTAAAGACGTGGTCCTTGCCGCGAGACAACAAACTCTCTGGGTCTCAGTGGGGAATCAGAAAAATACCTAACAGCGGGTTTGCTTTAAGGGGATCCCGAGAACCAGCAAGATGTTTCTGCCAGGAACCCAGGCCTTGTTTTTTGGCCAAAACAGATGGTCTCCCTTGGGAATTTGCTGGACAATCATGTTCCGTGCCGTGTGGCATGGACTCATGCTATGAATGAGTCCTGATCTGTTGCGAAGTCCTGTTTGCAGAGAAACAAATGCGGGTTTGTCTCTAAGGACTCATAAAATGGTGTTCATGACAATAATGACTCCAGCACCCTCCAGCGGTCTATGGATAGCCCAAGGCGCTGGCAGAAGGGGCCAAGTGAATATGTGTAAAATAGGGACAGATAAGTGCACTTGTGGAGTAGCATTTGATGGTTCTGGGAAGTGCTGGCCACGTTCTTTCTGCAACTTCTACAAGCCCAGACTTGAAGTAGGATTTGGCTCCAAGCGAAATGATCTTGATGAGCTTGTTTTACCCCGTTTTCTTCGGTGAAATCGCTTGACACCCATTTAGACAACCACCTTCACCGGTTTTCGTTCCAAGTGTCTGGATGGGGTCCCCCTCGGACTCAATGGACAGCGCCCGGCGCATGATGTCCACGTAGATCACGTGATTTCGGATCTCCGGACTCGCGGTAGGGAGCGCCCGGCCGAGGCTCGGCTCCAACGACAAGAGCTGCGGCACATCGCTCCTCCCGCGCGGACATTTGTGAGATGGGTGTCTCTTTTTTTAGGTTGGACCCCAAAAAATGGTGGGTTTCTGGTTGGTTTCCCTTTAAACCAGAACCCCCAAAACAGAGCCATTCCCATCACATTCATGTCCAGCCGAGAACAGGAGTTCGAGAGCATGCTTCCTGGATGTCCGAGCCATGTAAGTATAGCCTACTTGTACTGGGTTGGTTGGACATTGCTCCGGGCGGTCATGCGGAATAACCCGATATCTGTCATGCCAACGTTGGATTCCCATCATGACTACTCCAAAAATGGCTTTGTCGCTTCGTGTTGCTTATGCCCCAACAGTATAAGCCGTTGATATGGTTCTTCGCCACGCTCAACCACAAAACCCCGTAGGCCATCCACCGTACAAGTGCTCTTGGGTTCGAACGGAGGCTGCTGAACACCAAAAGATGACCAAGGCAGAAGGCACAAGGGTAGACACTCGGTCGTGCTTCCTGTCGTCTTCCTTTTCCGGGTGCCAACTGTTAGCCCTCCTTTTGGAGGGTCCCTCAATAAATGGATAGCTCAAGAAATGCAAGTAAGCTCTTTGTGAGAGTTGAGCCTGGGTCCTTCCTCCTTGGGACCGCCAATGTGCTTTGCTTTTCCAAATGGGGTTGCCTTCTACTGCTTCCACAAATGGACGGCCCCTCTTTGTCGAGGGTTTAAAAAAAAACACCCCAGAAAGAGTGCATTTGTGGGGAGCCCCCCACACCAACAAAAATGCGGCCTTTCAAAGCCGAAAGCACCACCAGGTAAGACTGGGTCATCAGGCCAAACGGATCTGACCTGCGAAAAGTTGACTTTTTGCTGGGGAAAATGACGGAGAAACAAAGGTGTATGCAAGCTAACCAAACGGCACCACACAAGCACGCGATAACTCTTTTATCCGAGCAATGTGTTGGTGCCAGGGACTCATCTTCCCCTGTCAGATGTCAAAGGCTGGGTGGGCCCCATGGGCCACCCAACTCACAATCTCAAAAACTGAAGAACGGGTGTGCAGACTGATAGCGCCCGCCCCTGAGCCGGGGCCCGGGGCACCCAGGCCACAGGGGGGTCTGCCACCAGGGGAAGTGAGTCACCCACCGGCTCCGGTCACGGGAGCATGGGTGGGCCCACGCTAAGATCAAATGCATCTCCATTCAGGAGACGCGGGAGAAAAACGAACTCCTCGCAGAGTTCCTGTTTGGGGACCCTGTGCAAAGGGTCGAACCCAGAGAAATCTGGGTGCGTCAGTTCATCAGCCCATTGGTTGAATTCCCGGGGCACGTGGTTGGCCGCCAGCGAGCAGCCATGGGTGTGGAGCAGGAAGACCAGCTCCATCAGGATCGCCGCGGTGTAGGGCTTCTTGGATCCGGTGAGCATCGCCATGACGTTGCCCTGATTGTCACTGCCCACCGGGAGTCGGACCCGGGAGGACAGAGGGCCTTGGTGCGTGAGGATCATGTTACAGAGGAAGAGCGTGCCCAGCATTTCCAAAGCCGCAATCCTCCGCTTGGGATCCCCATTCTTGAATGCCCACGGGTACTCCTCCACGTGGATCTGCTCGTGGAACCAGTACACCTCCTTCTTTTCCGGCTCCATTTTGTTGGAGCACCATCCTCCCACAAATGCCAGTCCTTCGTCCGAGGCGCTAGCATCGCTGCAACCCCACCAAGAGGACTTCGGCAAGTAAGGGGAGTACTGGACGAAGGGCGTGTTGAAGAGGAACCGCAGCATGAACGCCAGCATCCTGACCACCTTGGGGGGTTTCCCCACCGTGGTGGTGGCCATCTTCCAGGCCCAAAGTGGCTGGAGCATCGACTTCGCCAGCGGACATGCAGCAGTCGCCCATTGGATGCGGCCCAGGGCCTTCTCGATGTCCTTTGAGTGCATCGCCTGCCCTTCCACCATGGTCTGCAAAACCTCCATCCCCAGGATGTGTTTGTTGGCGGCCATGAGAACCTGC